TTATATCATAATATCTGTCAAACACCAACTTTACTAACTATATATTCTTTATGATCTATAAGACTATTTACTATGCAAGAGGCTTCTTACAAATCCAAAATGAAAATGAACAAACATTTACATCTATTTGAATTACAATTAACAGTGCACTTCAAAAAAGTTAATACCTTTACTATTAGATCCCAATGAAATTCCCACATATATTTAAGAAATCTTATCATTTAAACTTCAAATTATAAAAAGATTATACATAAGAGCTACTGTTAATGCACTAAGAAAAACTTTTACATTTGACAAGCTAACAGACAAATATTTTGCAAAACTTCCAACACTACTAAAAAAATATCAAGAACTTTTTCAAAACTAAATACATATTTTCCAATTACAAACAAACAATCATTACAATACCTTTTATATTTTAGACACAAACTTGCTGACTACTATACCTTTACTATAATCCCAAATTCCTACTTCCAACTTTTTCTATCAAAACAACCATTACCTACTACATATTAGGAACTTAATTATAAAGTCAGAGGTCTCTTTTCATTCAACTCATCTATATCCAAAATATCATTAGCTAGGGCAGTTGCACAGCTAAAAAAGTATTACATATTTAAACTAGTTTCCAATAATTACTTTATTACCAAACTACTATTGCCCAATAATCCAAACCTTATTTGCACTAACTTACAATATACCTATCCAATAACTGACAATGAAATAGCAAAAAAATTTCTTGAGGAAGTCTCTTTATGATATCATATCTGATTCCTACTATTTAATCACATAATGTAAGCAAACCTTACTAACAAACCTGACCTACTAACAGACAGCCAAAAGCTTGCTAAACTCAACATCACACTACCTATTACAACACCTCAACAACTTATTCAAATTGCAAAAACATTTTGACAACACTTTTATTTTAAACAACTATCATCAATATAGATTAACATTACAAACTTTCTTGCTCAAACTAAAAAGCAAGAAGACAATGTTAACAGTAAGAAACAGACTCAGACAACACAAGCTCTCCTATCTATATCTGATAATATAGAAGATATTAACTCTGTATTAACTTAGAATAATTTATAACTTACTCTTCCAATAACTTCACAATTACAAATAACACTAACAATGCAAACTCTTAGACAACACTATACTATTCACACAATTTCAGACTTTCTACTTAACCTACCACCATTATCTACACCAACATGAGAAATATTTAACACCTCTACTATAATACCAAATGAGTTACTTACAATTAATACAGTGGCAATGAACACCTTCTAGCTTTATATCAACACAAAACATTACTGAACCTAACAACAAATTTATACATCAACACTTAACTATCACAATACACAATATCCAAAAATACAATAATATTACCAAAAGGCAATTATAGATAGATTATTGTATTAGCCAACAGTTTAATATTATATCACTTACTGAAACAAAACTAACACAATCTCAATATATACAAAATACCCTTCATAGCAATAACTACAAATGTTTTATGTCTAACAACAACATCACTAATCCTTAACATCTAAAAGAATCTAGTGCAGGAACAATAATTCTTATAAACCAAGTACTCACAATATATATTTATAATATTTAAACTTTTTAAAGCATAGCTATAGCAATCAACTTTTATCTATCTTATAAAAACAACTTTCATATTATCTCTATTTATCTACCTAATAATTCTGATACTAACAAACAAACACAAAACCAAATTATCTTTTGAATAACACAAGCACTACAACTCAATATTATATTAGTAATTATGGGTGACTTTAATCAGAACCTTAATAGGCCACAATGCTCCACACTATATAAGTATCTTATATTATACAACTTTACTTCACTAATATATACATACTTCTACCTGGCAATGGAAAAAGCTTTCTAGTCAAATTGATGAAATCTGGATTCTATAACAAATTCTATACACATTTACAACACCTACTATTATTTATACAACTGAATTCACTGACAGTAACTATTACATTATTTATACTAACCTTCAGATACATATTAAACCAACCAAATACACAAAACATATAAATACAAGGCATTCAAATATGATACTATGACAAATAAACTTTGGAAAGAATTCCAACATACCAGCTACCAACTATCATTCTTAATTACAGAAACAACAGCATCCACACTAAGTGTCAATCAACTCTGGCATCAGATCCAACATGCAGTACTTACTGCAGCCAATTTACACATACTATTTACCTTTTGTTTACAACAATTTCAAAACTTTTTATCTACTGCCTCAAAAACTTATACAGCACTAAACATCTGTGGTAGCATACTTTATATTCTTGTTAACCTTTACTTTGATATCAATAACAATATTCAAACTAACTCTATGTTACTAAACAATTTAAGCCAAAAAATACAAACAATCTAATTACTTACTAACATTATTATTACACCTCTTACTCAGTTGGACATTGATAGTATTAAACTTCTAATACTATTACTATAATAAAAGAGCATTGCAAAACACTATATTATATTCAGGAAAGTAAAAACAAACAGGCATTATTCTAATATATTACTCAACAGGTTGAGAAACATTACAACAACTTCAAATTCAACACTACAGTAATGATCAACAGTATACTTAATAGATATAATAACACAGTACAATTTGACAACATAAAACTTACTAATTCTATAATAACTAAACCACAAAAGATTCATCAACACATAAAAAATTACTTTACAAACTGAACCAAACACAATCTATATAATCATATAACTCAGCTTTTTGAGAACAATAAAAAAATAAATATAACCCAAAACAAATATACTCTTAGCATGGTATGACACAATAACAGACCTAATAATTTAACAAGAAATAATTAATACAATAAGTATTTCATCCAACAATAAAGCACCAGGACCTACTCTTATCACTAATAAAATGCTCAAACATACTCATCCTTATATTATTAAACTTTTAACAATCTTATTCAATTTATGTCTAAATATTGCAGATATCTCTAGTGCCTGAAAACAAAGCAAAATATATCTAATATTAAAAAAACCAACCTTTACAGGCCAACTTAACACTTCTTAAACATACTTGAAAAATTTTCACAAAAATTATTACTGACTATCTTAGCAAAATAATGTCAAAATATTTTATTTTAAACTTACATAACTTTGTAGCCTTACTTTATTCTTCTACAATACAACCTATACAAATCCTCACAAATATACTACAAGAAGCACAAACACAAAACAAAGAAATATGGCTCTTGGCCTAGGACATGAGCAAGGCATATCAGCATGAAGTACATTTTGACATAAAATTATATAAAATTTTTATATAAACTTTATCTAAAAATTATACATAAATCTACAAATCCAATGTAGATTTATATAATTATAACTTTTATATAAATATAGATAATATATAATTATATAAAATTTTAAATAATAGTTATTTAAATTTTTATATAAACTTAATAAAATAAAATTTTATATAGAGTTTATTTAAATTATATATAATTTTTCAAATAGAGTATAAATAAAAATTTATATAAAATTTAATTTTATATAAGGTTTATATAAATATTACAAAATTTGTACATAAAATTTAAATAAATTTTTTTATAAAATTTAATTTTATATTGAATTTATATAAAGATAACATAATTTTTAAATAAAATATTGCATACATATATATTTAAGATTTATTGTATATAAGAATTTATTTAAAGATTACTTAATTTTTAAATAGATTATAAATAAAATATTGCATACATATATATAATATTTATTGTTTATAAATATTGCATACTTTTTAGATAATAAATTATTATTTAAAAAATATAGCAAGAAATGCATTTTCTATTACGATCATACAATGTCTTGTGATTTGGTGGCTCATGCATTTGCATCAACTTCATTTTTATTTGTTATCCTCACTATCAGATGTGCGTGAATCTCTTTGATCATTTTCAGTATTATTTTTGATACGATTGTGCTATTATAAATTAGAAACAAAAAAAATAAAAAAAGGTATATACTGCACTAAGATATGGTTCATTTCCCAATATTCATTTCCTCTACAAGTCATTTATCCACATTATGTAGATAATAATTTATTAACTATATACAGTCACAGGTAAAAATAATCGTGACCAAGGACATGACACAGTTGACAATCAAACTTGATATTGGCTTTTAAAAACCAAACAATCGAAAGCCCAATACATATACCCGAATTAAGAGCAGAGCATAATCAAAAAACGGTGCTTTTAGAATAGTAGGATTAGATGCATAAATTGGAGGAACTCATGTTAAAGAGAGAAAAAGGAAATGTCAGTAAGATGGCAAAGATCCAAAAAGATAAATAACAGACAGTCTTACCTGGCAGAATCAAGAAACAATTGGTATTAAAAAATAGTAGGTTAAAAGTCCCAAAATAGAATAGATTGTAAAAAAAAGATGTATAAAAGCAACAACAAGTAATTAATAAGAAAAAACTTATCTTTTGTAGCCCCCTAATAAAAAGACCAATGTTTCTATACAAAAATCAGAAAATGATAGTAATTGTTATATTAAACCCCAAACTTAAAATAGTAAACAATATTTGACTAAATCATATTTTCACATCTTTAGTATAAAGTGCCCAGAAGTTCCTTCTTCAATACTTACAACTATAGATGTGCCATTTATATAATATCTGAATTTTTTCGCATATAGTATGATTAATTATTTGTTATAGAATATTCTAAAAAATTTTTTGCATACTGTGCTGTATGCGACACATCACTACTTACAACATAGCAAAGTGCTAATACTGATTCTGCATGATGTTGGTAAATGACCTATGAGAAAAGTGACTATCAGGAAAATAAGCAATTACCCACCAAGAAAGATTGCAATTTTCTTGTTAAATATTTTTCATTAAATTTAATCTTGACAATTTCAGAATTAAACAAATTGTGCAAGATAGACTAGGTTACAGCATATTGATTCTTTGTAGGTTGTTGGCCAAATACTTTCTTAGTGACCATTTGATGATAGGTCTTATTCTCTTCTTCGATCATAGTGTTCAAATTTTTGAAACACCATTGTACCTCTTTACTTGATTTCCAAGAAATTATTTCTGTTTCAGAACTTTCTGAATTGACAGTTTGTGAAATCTTATTTTTAAAGACATGCTCAAACACAGCATGATAAAAAGACCCAAATAAAGCCCCACAATATTTGCACGATTTAGCACCAATCTATGCATAAAATTTAATTAAGTTATGTAATTATGAAACTTATGCACTAAACTATTATTTACTGAATTTTCAATCTTGCTATACAGTGCCTCCCATCTAGAACATTTTTTATACCACATCATTTTGTCTGGACAAAGATCTTCAAGTTCTTTTCAAATGGATTCTTTATAAACTTTGTTATTAGGATAAAGCCAATTATCTATAGAAAATATAATACCTTGTGTCAGTCCCTTCTATAAAAATTTTTATTCCTTCTTTTAAATTAAATTAATTAATTACACAAATCATGTAATTACATACCTTATTATAATCAACTAAGTATCAAAATAAATAATATTTTTAATTAAAAGAGAATGATAATAAAATATTTATATATCTGCCACCATTCATGACCATTATCTTTTGACTTCGACTTTAAATTTTCATATGAATATTGTAAAACCTTAATGTCACTAGCAAGTTGAGTAACCATAGCTTCCAAAGTTCCTTACTTTTCCATAATCAAGGTGTTTGAATTAATATTTTGTTAGTAATTTCTAGTAATATATTTATTGCTTTATTTTCTTCGTCTAAAACTAATTAATTTAATAGTTAATATTTGCATTTATAAAAGATAATCTAAAACGCAATAAATTTTATATATTTCTAACTCTAACCCCAATTTGTATCAACAGACAATTCTTCTGATGCATTATTAAAAATTTTGTTAAGTGGAGACCTAGGTGGGCTTTTAACAATTTTATAAGGGTCCATAGAGAACGAAAAGGATCTTGAAAATCATTATTGTCATTTTTCTCAACATTTTCAACATAGTTTTTTTTTGACTTGTACAATGCTTTATTTCTTTGGAGGCATTGACTAGTGAGTTCACTTGTGTTTCATTGTTTTTTAGTAGTTGACTTTGAGGAGCCGGTTTTTAATGTATCTAATGTTGAAAATAAAAAAAAAAAAGAATAAAAAACATAAGTATAAAAATTCATATGATCATTCAAAAGCACAGTGTTTATTAATTACCGAGGCAACTTTATTCTGTTCTGAGCCAAGTCTTTGTTTTCCACCTTTAGGAGGCATAAAGGTTTCTTGAAGAGTTTAAAGTTATCGACCACTGCCTTTACTAAGTTTTAGAGAAAGAATTTTTACTGAAAAGGTTTCTTGGAAAAGTTTAAAAGTTGCTGATCACTGCCTTTATAAAATTTCAAATTAGGAATTTTTACTTTATAAAGTAAAAATGTGATACTGTAAATGATCGATCTAATAAATAAAAAATCAACATACAATGGATAAATAAAATAGTATAATTATTAATGGGAACTATTAAGATTGGCATCACACACTTATCAGTGTAAGAGTGCTTAATTGTTATATGACTAATGATATAAAAGTCATAACAGATGTTAATAATTATCTAGGTTAAAAATGTGTGCTGATTAAGTACCTTGTACTGATAAGTGTGTTATCAATCAAAATGTGCCTTAGTAAAATTTGACAAAATGATAAAAAAATCAGGTCATATCTAATTGTAACATGTTATCTGTAACAAGTTAGCTTATAATTAGTAAAGTAATATGCATTTAATTAATGTCACACCAGGTCACAATTAAACATGATTTAATTTTTTTATTATTTATTTAACAATTTGTCAAACCTTACTTAGGCATGTTTTGATTGATGATGCAGGTAAAAAAAAAAAATCAAAATTTTGATACCAAATTCGATTTGTATGTATCAAAAAAATAACTATTTTTACATATTTTTATTATGTATAATGGTTACCTTCTTGATGCATCATATCTGAACAATAATTTTCACTACAATATCATTATTTTGTTCTCTAGTTTAATGTGTAATTACATAATTCTATGTAATTCTAAACTAATAATTTTATGTTAAATATTCAAATTTTACTTCAGATCTATTTTAATATTTTCTTTATGTTCATATGCTGTATTTGTGAAAAAGAATTTGGCCATCTAACAAGCCTCAAAAATCATAAAAAGGCTTATAAAAAATGTCATCAAATCGAAGAAGAATCTAGTACTGATACAGCTACTAGTACAGATGAGAGTACAGACAGCTATATTTCTAATAAATCAGAAATAATAACAGACATAATAATAAAAAGGGCATAACTGTCAATAATGACTCAATATTTGAGCACCAAGATATTTTCTATGAGTCTTACCTGGTATTTGATATGCAAAATATTGATCTTGATTTAATGCTTGATAACCAGAAAACTGCCAGTGAGTCTGATTCAATGTTTAATAATTAGGAAATTGGCAGTGAGTTCGATTTAAAGTTCAATGACCAGGGAACTGTCAAAGACCAGGAAACTGTCAAAGACCAGGAAACTGTCAGAGAGTCTAAATCAATATCTGATGATAAGTCTGATGACCAAGAAACTGATAATGAGTGCATCCCAATGTTTGATAATCATAATATTGCTAATAAGTCTATCTCAATTTTGAATAAGATAATACTGACGAGTTTGACCAAATATTTGAGAGGGGTATACTAAAAAATTATGAAGAAACTGATAATGAATTCTGGAGTAATGATAGTGAATATGATAATGTGATTTTTTCAAATGTCATATATCAGGATTTTGTAAATATAGGAAGTATTATGTAAATATATATATTTTGTTTTTAAAATCAGATATTTGAAATCTAAATTATATTTATTACTAATATTAGGTAATCTGACATCAACTTTCTTATAAGACCGGTGATGCTATATTGAAGTTTGTAAAAAAATATAGCCAGATTTCAAAAAAAATCTTGCCTAGATCAACTAAAGAAGGTCTTTATTTCTTGGATTCCTTAGAAAAAAATTATACAAAATTTTTTTTAACTCCTGTTGCACAAGTCAGAGGTCAAACATATTTGTTTAAGTATCAGCCAATAATTTTAGCCATTAGAGAAATTCTCCAGAATCAAGAAATTACGATGAACTGTGTTTTTGATTATCAAAAGATTTATGTATCAAATAAGGCATATAAAGTTTATAGAAGTAATGGTATTACTAAATTTTAATATATATATATATATTAAGAAGGCAACTGCTTTTGTTTTTAACCTTCTTGATGCTTAATATTCGTAATTGGCAAATTTTGAATGAAGAAATATTATATATTGTCATAAATATATTAAAGTAGAATTATAAGACCATATAAATTTAATAAATCAGTTCTCATAACCTGGTCAGGGCAAACTTTAAAAAGATTTTTTGATAATATTTACT